CTCCATTCAGTAGATTGCCTTTTTGTTTTGTTGATGGTTTCCGTTGTTGGAAAACATCTTTTTAGTCTGATGGAATGCTGTTTGTTTATTCTTGTATTTTTTCCCCCATATCCAGACAAAAAATTGGTAATGCTGATATTCCAGTTTACTGCCTATATATACACAATGAGATATTATTCAGCCATGCAAAGAGTGAAAACTTGCCATTTGCAACAGCATGGATGGACCTAGAGTGTATTGTGCTACGTGAAATAAGTGACTGTGCTACGTGCAATGATACCACTTACATGTAGAATGTAGAATGTAAACAAAACAGAAATAGAGTCATAAAAACAGAGAACAAACTGGTGGGGCTGAAGAGAGGAGACAGACGAAAGAGGTGTGGGGGATAATGAGGGACTAACTTCCAATTATAAACTAAATTAGTCACAGGGATAAACGTACTGCATACAGAATATAGGCAATAATATCATAATATCTTTGTATGTTGACAGATGGTGATCATGCTTACAAAGGTGTGCATCTAGTATAGAATTGTCTAATCACTATGTTGTCCACCTGAAACCAATGTAGTATTTTGTATCAACTATATTTCAATTAAAAAAAGAAAATTCAAAAAACTAAATTCCTTTCACAAATTAAAAATATTTATTACACATTGTATTTCACATAATATACAATGTATGCTAATACTACTATGTATTACAATATATATTTATAAATATATATTGCACACTTTAAGTAATATATATATTTTTATACAAAATATAAACAATACAAAATTAGCTCGGAGCCTGTATTCTTGTTTTTTTTATTCAAACTATATTTTCTTTCTCAACAGGTGTCCCACCTACATGGAACCTCAGAATCTAACAGGCGCCTCAGAATTCCTCCTCCTGGGCCTCTCAGAGGATCCAGAGCTGCAGCCCCTCCTCTTCGGGCTGTTCCTGTCCCTGTACCTGGTCACCGTCCTGGGGAACCTGCTCATCATCCTGGCCGTCGGCTCTGACCCCCACCTCCACACCCCCATGTACTTTTTCCTCTCTAGTCTTTCCCTGACTGATATTGGCTTCAGCACCGCCACCGTCCCCAAGATGCTGGTGAACATGCAGACCCACAGCAAGTCCATCTCCTATGCAGGCTGCCTCACTCAGGTGTCCTTCTTTTTTCTTTTTGCGTGTATGGACAACCTACTCCTGGCTGTGATGGCTTACGACCGGTTCGTGGCCATCTGCCACCCCCTGCACTACCTGACCATCATGAGGCCCCGCCTATGTGGCCTGCTGATCGTGGTGTCATTTGTGATCAGCCTTTCAGACTCCCTGACTCACTGCTTGATGGTGTCCCAACTTACCTTCTGCACACATGTGGAAATCCCTCATTTCTTCTGTGA